AAATCCTTTTCCAGATTTGATCATAAATCATATGGATTTATACTTATCTTAATAAATATTTAAGATAATTACATTTTGGCCCGGATTCCTAATATAACAATATAAATAAATTAATCCCTAATTAAATTATACTTTATTGTATACCAATAAAAAATTAATTATTTATTTTACTGCCACCAACATTATTATTATTATTGTTGTTATCAATATTATCACAACAACAAAAAACACATTTGGCGACCCACAAATTTTGTCGCCAAAAGAATCGGCGACAAAATACACAACTTGTCGCCAAAGCCCTGTCACTAAAAGTATTGGCGACGAAATCAGAAATTGTCACCGTATGTAGACATTTAGCGACAAGCAAAATTGGTCGCCAAAAATCATATATTTTGTCGCTATAAAATTACAATTTGTTGCTAAAAGGTTAAAATTTGGATAAGCTATGTACTTTTAGCGACAAATAAATGCGTCGCCAAAAGTACTATTTAACGACAAAATTAATTTGGTCGCTAAAAATCACGTTTTTAGTGACGAGTAAGTTTTGGTTGCTAAAAGTTCCTGGCATAATCACCAACTTTTAGCGACAAAAACAATATGTTGTCGCCAAATATATTAACGACGACAAAAACACCACCTGTTACTAAAAATTCACTACACAAATTTTTTATTTTAATAATTTTCCTGTTCAAAATAATCCAAAACACCTATTTTCCTGTGCACAATATATACACAAATGTAATGTAAATAATAATACACCTGTGCAAGACATTCATACTAATTCAAAATTAATAACTATGAAAAATCCCAATAAACATAATTACAATTCTCTGACAATCTAAAACATGCATACCAAAGTACTTACAAACTACTAATATCAAACCCATAAATACATTACCAAATCCTATGTCAAAATATTTTCAAAATTACAACCAAATATTTTAATGTTAAACATCTAACCAACAAGTCATTTACTAAAATCCTATATCAAAATATTTGCAAAAACACAACACCAACTATTTTGATGCTAAACATTTAATCCATAAATCATTTACCAAAATCCTATGTCAAAATATTTCCAAAAACACAAAATCAAATCTTCTGATGCAGCCCAAACTATTTTCCACCATTGCCAATCTGTCACATGAAAAAACAAAACAATATTAGATTGACAAAAAAAAAACAAAAAAAAAACTCGATATGAACTTCACAATTTTGATTTTAATTTTGTAACAGGAAGTCAAATCGGGTGCTATTTGCTCATACAACTTATTTAGGCTTGAACAAGCTACCCGTGCCAAGTTTCGGTGGTTTAGTGGTCATTTTGCAATTTTGACCTCTGAACGGGCCTTTTAAGTCTTGTGTTTTACATTTTTCCTTCTAATTTTCTAACCAGAAATCCAATCGAGGTGCCGTTTGTTCCTACAAGTCTATTTAGGTTTGAACAAGCTGTCCGTGCCAAGTTTTGGTGGTTTCGGTTGTCATTTCGCAATTTCAGCTCCTGAACGAGCCTTTTAAGTTTGTGTATTACAATTTTCCTTCTAATTTTCTAACCGAAGATCCAATAGAGGTCCCGTTTGTTCCTACAAGTCTATTTAGGCTTGAAAAGGCTATCCGTGCCAAGTTTTTGGTGGTTTCGGTGGTCATTTTGAAATTTCGGCCCCCGAACGGGTATTTTAAGTCTTGTGTTTTACATTTTTCCTTCTAATTTTTTAACCGGAAATCCAATCGATGTCCGTTTGTTCCTACAAGTCTATTTAGGCTTGAACAAGCTGTCCGTGCCAAGTTTCGTGTTTCAGTGGTCATTTCGCAATTTCAGCCCCGAACGGGCCTTTTAAGTTTGTGTTTTATAATTTTCCTTCTAACTTTCTAACCGGAGATCCAATTGAGGTCCCGTTTGTTCCTACAAGTCTATTAGGCTTGAACAAGCTGTCCGTGCCAAGTTTCGGTGGTTTCGGTAGTCATTTCGAAATTCGGCCCCGAACGGGCCTTTTAAGTCTTGTGTTTTACATTTTTCTTTCTAATTTTTTAACCGGAAATCCAATCGAGTCCCGTTTTTTCTACAAGTCTATTTAGGCTTAAAAAATCCGTCCATGCCAAGTTTGGTGGTTCCGATGGTCATTTCGCAATTTGGCCCCCGAACGGGCCTTTTAAGTCTTGTGTTTTACAATTTCCTTCTAATTTTTAACCGGAGATCCAATCGAGGTCCCGTTTGTTCCTACAAGTCTATTTTAGGCTTGAACAAGCTGTTCC